GGGACTACAGTCCCCCGCCACAACCCCTGGCTATTTTTTGTTGCAGTTTGGCGGGGGCTGGGTTTGAACCCACCACCCTCGGTATATGGGGCCGGCGCCCTAGTCACTGAGCCACAGGTGCCTCCCATGGAGCCCTACTCATTGAGCCACAGGTGCCGCCCCAAGAGTGAAAGTCTTGAAAGTCAATCTTTCTTACCTTATTAATACCTTAAGGCAGATTTTTGAAATAGGGATAGGAGGTGACCATTTTGAGAGTCCATTTCTGGAGCACTGCCATTAACTGTAACTTTTAGTTACTTCTCTGGATCCAATTTCCCTTCACTGTAACATCAAGAAGTTGATTATTACAACTAAATGATTGCCTCTAAAGTTTCTCTCACTTCTATCTTTCTGTCTTAAGGATAAATCTTCAGCTCAGTTAGTCCCTTCTGTTTTTCTGGGTTGACATCCTTCCTCCCAAAATCATTTATGGAGTATCTCCATGTTCTTGAAGGTAGGGTCTGGGTTTTATTCATCTTTCCCCATTACTTAGCATATTAACTAAGCTAGTGATTTCAAGTAGGGTTAAAGTTAGTTTCTGTGTGAGATTCCAACCTGGTCTGGTGGCGCTCGCAGTTCTGAAGATGGTACCACACATCATCAATTAATCACTTAATAAAAAAATTAAAGATAACAGGAAAGAAAAACTGGTTCCAGACTTTCTTAGTACTAACACGTTTCCACCAGGAACAAGAGTGCACAAAAGAGCAAACAGTAATAATTAACACTCATTGGGTGCTTTCGACGTGCCGGAGTTTTCGCTGTTTTGTCTTGTGTTCTAGGTACTGTTTCACACCTGAAGCGGGCACTGACAAGTAATATGCCTAGGTAACCCTGCAGTGGAAACTAGACAGCGCAACCTCAGAGGCCGAGCTCCCAAGCACTCCACTGATAAATAAGAAAAATCACAACAATCCTGCGTTATCTCCGAGAGGCCGGAAGAATTTGGGCAACAGTGCGGAGTCCAAAGTACAGGAGTAGAAGGAAGCGACCACAGAAGGCTATATAAGCTGACAATCTTACACACACACACAAATGCACTTCTCTGGGCTGGATTACACAACTGGAGTTTAGGCAAGCAGGCAGAATAAAACGCGACAAGCCAACTCCGGAGCCCACTAATACCCCGGCAGAACAGATCAGAAGTGACGTCAGGGCTCGGCGCCTGTGGCTCAAGTGGCTAAGGTGCCAGCCACATACAGCTAAGGTGGCGGGTTCAAATCCAGCCCTGGCCCGCCAAACAACAATGATGGCTGCAACCAAAAAATAGCCGGGTGTTGTGGC